AACTCCCACATGAATTTTGAGACCTTTTTTGCTGATTTAATAGGTTAAAATAGTTCATTGTTTTATTACTACTTTGAGCACTAGTGAAGTTGAACATACAATTATTTTTTATTATGAAATAAGTTAGAAATACAGACTATAGATAATAATGTAATGAACATGAATGTACCCAGCAACAACCTTAAGAAAAAGGAGTTACAGATAAAATTGTAGCCTCCCATATATTCCCCCTGGATCCATTCCTATTTTCCTCTCCCCAGAGGTAACCACTAGCCAGAACTGGGTAGGTATTATTCCCATAAAGGCTATAAAATTGTAGCCTCCAATATATTTTTATATTTTTAATACATATTGTATATCCATAAAAAGAATATGCAACTTTGCATTTTTTTAGCATTCAAGTATTGATATCATGCTATATATATTCTACTGCAACTTTTTAAAAACTCGGTATTATATTTTCTGCTACTTAACCCATGGTGATATATGAACTCTAATTGAATAATTATCTGTGATTTATTCAAGTCTATTATATGAATATACATAATCTTCTTACAGCCTGTGTTTGTCTTTTAACTTTGTTGATGGAGCATTTTATGTATTGAATTTTAAATTTTATTTAAGTATAACTTAACAATATTTTCTTTTATGGACTGTGCTTTTTATGTCTTATCTTTCCCTACAGGTCAAAAAGATAGTTTCCTATATTGTTTTCCAGAAGTTTTAAAGTTTTATTTTTATATGAAAATCTTTAATTTGCCTGGAATTTATTTTTTAGTATGGTATGTGGTAAGGATATGATTTTATGTTTTTCCATAACTGGTTGTCCCAGCATCATTTACAGAATAGTCCCTTCTCTTCACTCTTCTACACAAGGCAACCTGTCTCACATATCTTCCATTAGTCATTTTGTGTAACTGTGCCAACAACTTGCCCATTAGTTTTGATAGCTTCATAATAAGACTCAACACATTCCTTCATATGTTGTACAAATTATGTCCTTCATAAGGTCACCAGGCTGAGGGAATGGGTGGAATCTGATATCCAAATCCTGCTTGGTGGACGCTGGCATGGGCCTATGTCTGCCTGGAAGGAGAGGCACATTTTTCTAATTCACGTAAGGACACTGTCAGCTGGGTAAACTATGTGTCTCCAGGGCTATGTCCCTTCCTCCCCTCAGAGGTGCTTTTTCCACCTCGATGGGTTTGATAGATATAGGCTAGTAGAGCCCCTGTGTCCATCCACTAGGAGCATATGTGGAGTATCTTTTTCCTTCAGTGATTTGCAACAATGTTTTAAAGATTAAGGCTAATTGTTTTTTGTCATATGTATTGCAACCCTTTTTTTCCCCCCGGCTTTCCATTTGCCTTTTTGTGTCATTTATGTTTTTTCTGTGCAGAAAATTTAAATTTTTATGAGGTCACATACATCAAACATCTGTAGTTTTTTTTCTTATTTTTAATGTGTTCCTCATACAAAGATTGTATAACTATTAATCTGTATTTTACTCTTAAAGTTATTTTCATTTAACTTTGTAACCCATCTGGAATTTGTTTTGGTGTTTGCTGTGAATTAGCAGTGTCAGTTTTGTTTTTTTTCTTCCCAAGAAGTTAACCAAATGTTCCAACACCATTTTATTCCCCACTGAACACTATATCATGAATTTGTGCTGGTAGGATTCATTTTCAGTCTTGTTAACTACCTGGAGAGTTGATAAGTCCTGGGATTTTAGTCAGTCGATGAAACATTTTTGAAAGCTAAGAGGATGATTTGCCCTGCTGTTGTAGGAATTGGAAGGATACTCTCACCAGAGAGTTTATATCCTCATATCACCGACCTCTAGTCTGGCTAATATAGTTGTTATCGCTGTTAGGTGCTGTCAAGTCGGTTCCAGCTCATAGTGACCCTATGTGCAACAGAGCGAAACACTGAACAGTCCTGCGCCATCCTCAAAATCGTTGCTATGTTTGAGCCCATTGTTGCAGCTACTATGTCAAACCATCTCGTTGAGAGTCTTCCTCTTTTTCACTGACCCTCTACTTTACCAAGCATGATGTTCTTCTGCAGGGACTGGTCTCTCCTGATAACATGTTCAAAGTATCTAAGACGAAGTCTCACCATCCTTGCTTCCAAGGACAACTCTGGCTATACTTCTAAGACAGATTTGCTCATTCTTCTGGCAGTCCATTGTATATTCAATATTATTTACCAACACCGTAATTCAAAGGCATCAGTTCTTTAGTTTGCCTTATTCATTGTCCAACTTTCATATGCATATGAGGTGGCTGAAAATATGGCTTGGGTTAGGCAGCCTTATTCCTCAAAGTGACATCTTTGCTTTTCAGCACTTTAAAGAGGTGTTTTGCAGCACATTTGCCCAATGCGTTGCCCAAAGAAATGTTTGATTTCTTGACTGCTGCTTCCACAGGCATAGATTGTGGATCCAAGTAAAATGAAATTCTTGACAACTTCAGTCTTTTCTCCATTTAGCATGATGTTACTTATTGGTCCAGTTGTGAGAATTTTTGTTTTCTTTATGTTGAGGTGTAATCCATACTGAAGGCTGTAGTCTTTGATCTTCATCAATAAGTGCTTCAAGTCTTTGCTTTGAGCAAGCAAGGTTATGCCATCTGCATATTACAGGTTGCTAATGAGTCTTCTACCAATCCTGATGTCATGTTCTTCTTCATATAGTCCAGCTACTCTAATATAGAGTAGACAATAGTTGGAATAATGAATATTGATTGAGAAAAAGAAGAAGCACTTTTTCTACTTAGATTGACTTTCTCTTAGAAGGGAGTTAGGTTTCAATCTCTTGCAAAATAATAATCCAGTAGTCTGGGAAGGGAGACATGAAAGGGAGAATTCCTAGGAATATGTGAGTTATTATTGAGTAGATAGTCAAAAGTTGAAATAAGTTAAGAAACCTGTTAGGAAGGCACATACATCAGGTATGATAAAGATTACAAATAAGGGTTTTGTGTGTGTGTGTGTGTGTGTGTGTGTGTGTGTGTGTGTGTGTTTTAATTCCTATGGGAATTTTTGTATCTTATAAAAAGTAGAGAATAGTAAAATAAACCCCATGAACCTATCTCCAACAATTATCAGTTCAAAAGTTGGTATTGTTCCATCCTTACCTCCACCCATTTCATCCCTTCCCCGACCAGTGGGTTTCTCTGAAGCAAATTCTAGTCATTATATTATTTCAGCTGTAAATATATAAGCATGTATCTTTAAAATATAATTAGTGTCACTAAATGGTACATATAGAAACTGTTGAATTAATGTGTGTTTTGCTGTGTATATTCTTTTTTTTTCTGAATTTCCTCTGTTCTGCTGTGTATATTCTTAACAACAACAACAAAATAAATAAAATTTCGGGGGTGGGGGGGACTCTTTACAATAATAACAACAAAACATATTCACAATACCAAGGCTGAATTTGAACTTGTTGTCTTATTAACCTAATGTACGAAGTAAGCCTAGCTCCTTTTGATTAAAATGATAGAATGTAAAGAAAAAGAACACTCAGTTTGGTGTTAGACATTCTACCTGGATTTAAGTTCCAGCTCTCAACTTCCCATTGCTTGACTCAGGCAAATCTCTTCATTTCACATCTCCAAATCTCAATTTTCCCATTAGTAAAAGAAGAATAAATCATAGCTATCTTATGCATTTCAGAATTATGATAACATTGAGGTAACAGATGTGAAAAGAATCTAAGATTGTCAAGTACCATCTCCCAGTCCCATCCTCTCCTATGTGAATGGCCCTTACCTTGTCATTTGTCTTGACCTGAAGATCATAAATTATTTTTGTCCATAGTGTCTAAAGTGCCTTGTGTACAGTGTTTCTAACTTAAGCTTCCCTTCCTGAAAAACACATTACTTTGGTAAGTTAAAAAAACAAAAAAACAACTTTTGTTTATAGACAGCTATTCATAAGTAATTCTTAATCCCAAGAGAGTAATATTTTTAGGTTTGTTTCTTTCACCTTTTTTGCTGGTCCTTTCATTTACCCTGTCTTTCTCTTTAGTTTTAATAGCACAGAGAGTTGATGACTTTTGGTATGCCCCAAATATCAGGAACCTTCCTAGTGCAAACTCAAAATTTCAAAAGTTAATTTTAGAGGGCTTTTGGAGCCCTGGTGACACAGTGGTTAAGAGCTTGGCTGCTAACCTAAAGGTCAGCAGTTCAAATCCACCAGCTGCTCCTTCGAAACCCTATGGGGCAGTTTTACTCTGTCCTATAGGGTCACTATGAGTAGGACAGAATTCCACGGCAATGGGTTTGTTCGTTCTTTTTTCGTTTTGGCAAACAGAGCTTCAAATAATTAACAGAAAAAGCACTTTATTCCCACGCACAACAATCACCAAAAAAGAATTTAGCTAGGCAAATTTTGACTGCTAACATCTCTCCCCATCCTTGGGGGGAAATCAACTCATCTCCTTGTAGGAGGAACCCTAAAGAGAATGTTTCCCTAAAAGGGGCCGACTGGGCGGTGTCCTCTTTTCTCAAAGCCCTGATTTCTATTCTTAGATCCGGAAATAGGCAGCTTTCCCTTTTTCTCTTCTGAGCTCCCAGACCTTCCGTGGGCCCACAGGAGCCCGGGTTGGCGGGTCTGGGAGGGTGGCCCGCCGCCTGCAGACTGCGAGTCTCCTCCCCGCCGCTGCAGGACTCCGGGCCTGGGGCACTTGGCGGGGTCCGCTGAGTCAGTTTCTTCCGGCGCGACTCCTGGCCGCTGCGCCGCAGCGAGTGGGATCGGATCGGGCCGAGGAGGCGGCGCCCGCTCGGGGGTCCCTTCTCGGCGGGCTCCGGGGCCACGGTCATCCTGGTCCGCCCTGCTGGAGCCCCGACTGGGCCGCCGTGCCAAGTTTCAGCCTCCTCCAAGCCTCTTGCTGGCCACTGAGCTCATTTCTGAGGCCTGGGTGGAGGAGGAGGAAGAAGGGGAGAGGGAGGGGAGCGCAGGGCGGGGAGCCGCTGCCTTTCTCATAAACAGGCAGGAGCGGGGGCCCATGGGGCCCGCGGGTAGAGCAGGCTGCCGGCAGTGAGCTGTGCTCACCTGGGAAATGTGGCCTAAGCCCCAGCCCCTACCCTGAGCAGCGAGCCTTCTTACAGGGAGGGACAGTGGATTCACAGCACGGTCCATTATGGCCAGTGGCAACTGTCAGGGGTGCGAAGAGGAGAACGAGGGAACTCTGAAGAAGTTGATAGTGAGGCTGAACAATGTCCAGGAAGGAAAACAGATACAGACGCTAGTCCAAATCCTGGAGGATATGCTGGTGTTCACATACGCTGACCACGGTAATCGCCAGGGAATTATTCCCTCCATCCCCACCCCGTTTTGCAAACTTTCTCCCCTGCCCTTTGGAGCTGCTCAATCCAGGACTCCTGAGAAGTCTCAAACCCCCTACTCCTTTCCTTAAGGTGGAAAGGAGCTGAGAATTCCAGGAAGGTCTTGAGCTCAGCCCTTCTTTTTGAGATTTTAAAGGGTTGCTGTGAATTGTGACTGACTTTGCTTCTTTCCCCTCACCCCCCTTCTTTTCCAGCCTCCAAGTTATTTCAAGGCAAAAATATCCACGTGCCTCTGTTGATCGTCCTGGACTCGTACATAAGAGTTGCGTGTGTGCAGCAGGTAAGGAGTTGCTCTCATTCTGCCCATTCTCCCTTTCTGTTTGGATCGGAATGTTTTCCTGTCAGTATTATATACCCGGAATTCCTGGTTATTTCTGTTAATGAACCACTGACAGTGATTTTAAGATAGGAGCATTGTCAAATCTTTATCTAATGTTAACTATCTAAAAGAGTTCACCCTGTGTTTCCGGAATGTCATTAAAAAGTAACTTTATAAAACCTACTGGCAGAATGTCGATGGGGGCTGGGGAGAATAATAATGGGTTGTTATAGTTCTGTTATTGGCTAGATGAGGTCAATGGTGTTTAGATCAAATTATTCTTAGGATCTTCCCAATGCACAGCATGTCCTAGATTTGACACCATTGTGAATAGTTAGGGAAAGGGGAATAATTAACAGTAATAAAACACAATTAAGTAACTCGCAAATTCTCATAGGTTTCAGAGATTTTTAAACTTTTGGTTTGAAGATTGTCAGGTTCCCAGCCTTTTTAGTTAAAATTTTCCTTGTAGTATCTAATGAAAGCGATGCTTTAGGATTCCCCTATGTTTAAATTTATTTTTTGTAAGTGTTTTCATATAAACTGAATATAAAACTGAAACTTTTAGAATCTATGTCATAGGAAACTCAAAAACTGATTTAAATATCCCAGGTATATTAAAAAGTGAAACCTAAGATGGTAATTAAGAATGATAAACTAAAATCAAATTACCGCCTAAGGTGATAACTTCCTTTTGAGATTTGGAGAACTGAAATGAGTTGTGTCATCTGTATGTTAAGTCCTGATGGGAAGTAGAGTTGAACTTTGAATTCCATGGAGGTGCAGTCAGAAAGCCAATGTTTCTTATTGCCTACTTGAGAGGCAATTCTCTCTCCTTCTCTAACTCTGTATTTATATATCTTTATCTCTATCCCTGTCTCTGTATCAGCTATGTCTGATACTATGCATCTAACTATGTATCTAACTTGTTTTATATAAGAACATTTGTATCTGGGATAAATTGTTTCTTTTATTTTTCTTCAACTATGAAATATTTTCCATCTGACTATTGCTTTCCAGGCTATTGTTAAACAAAACTAAGAAAAGCTGAAGGTCTGAGAAGGATGCTTGTTCTTTTTAGCACCCTAAAGTCTGAATTTTGCCCATGGAACATGAGTCACATTTTAGGCACTAGTCCACTGTTTGCTGCTCTCCACCCACGTTCCCATTTTACTTGCCTCCGCTTTCATGTGACTGGTTCTGGCAGCTTCCATTCCGGGACTCTGCTTGGTGGAGTCACCCTGCTCAGTACCACTCAGGACAATGGAATCCTAGGTGGGCTTTGGTCTGCAGGGTCAAGAGGAGGCCACGAGGGAACCTGAACACGTTTACCTCCTGATTCTTCTTTACTTTAGAAACTGCCCAAACCTTAGCCACACTATTCTGAGTTGCTATGAATACCACCTGTAGGTACTAGGGACAGAATAGGCAGGGAAGTAAGGAATTGTCTTCTGATTTGATAATTTAATGAATTAGAATTATTTATTACAGCGCTATCTAAGCCTGCAAAGGGCATTGTGTATATTATAACATATGATGTCATTGACTTCTCAGAAATCCCACTGGATAATTTCCCTGCACAGAAGCTCAGTGAGAGGAAATGACTTATTTAGGATCACCCAGCTAGTGACAGAGCCAAGACTTTAACTCACGTCTTCTCATACCTTTAAAACCTGTTTCTATCATACCACCCACTGCTACTGAATATCACAGACTTTTCATGTAAGCAAGTAAAAAAGCACAGTGTTTTCGTACAATCACTGTGGCCATACTAGGCACAAAAACATTATCAGTTTTAATTATCATTTCTCTTATGAAAGGGATGTAGAAAGAGCTCTCCACTGGAATTTTAATACTGCACTTAAAGAATTTTTTTTTTTACAAATTTCTTCTCATTGGCTGGTGTAATTATTATTTTTTAGTTGAATTATCTGGAAGTGCTGAATTAAAAGCTCTTAATGATGAACTTAATGATGAACCTCCACTTGTCTGTCTGTTGTACTGTGGTGGCTTGTATGTTGCTGTGATACTGGACGCCATACCATTGGTATTTCAAATACCAGCAGGGTTACCTATGATGGGTGGGTTTTAGTGGAGCTTCCAGACTAAGACAGACTAGGAAGAAGGACCTGGGGATTGACTTCTAAAAAAACAAATTGGCCAGTGAAAACCTTATGTATCACTATGAGTTGGAACTGAGTAAATGGCACCTAACAGTAACAACAATGATGAATTTAAGGAGTTAAGGTAAATGGACTCTTAAAAAAAAAAAAAAAAGACTTCCAGAAGTCATTTAACATGATATTTCAGACTCTGAATTTTTGTTTTTGAGAACTTTTCATGTTTTATTAATGATAGTTAATAAACAACAATCTTTAGAGAATTGGTGGTTAGGCTAGCTGCCTTGTAATTTTCTTTTCCTGGCATCCATCTGATCATTTTAACTTATTCTCTGTACTTCTCAATTTTATATTTTCTTTATCCACATAGTTTCAAGCTTTATAGAAGGGGAGCAAAATAAATGAAAGTGAGTAAAGTTATCTTTAACACTAAAATCTTTCCCAGTGTACCCTAATTAGACACTTGAGTGTACAGAATAATTATAATAAAGTTAAAACCACCAATTTAATTGCAACTGTGTAGGATGGAAACCTCTTCTTGAAAGATAAACTCTTAATTGAATAGGCTAATGGATCAATTATCACCTCTGCTTTGCTGCCAGAAATTCTGTTTAATCATAGAAGCTCCACATAGTGACTGAAAGCTCAGTTGCCTGAATCTTTTTGCAAAACAATTACTGATGCTGCTGATTCACAAACAAGAACAAAACAGATTTTCTCCTTGAGTCAACCATGCAGGTTGAGATGAGTTAAGCATCCAATATGATTTTTTCCCGAGAAGCTATTCAGAATGTTATTTTTCTTAAACTCTTGGGGAAAAAAAATCTCAATATATTTTATGAAAGCACCAGAATAGCCAGTTTCTATGACAGCTGGATTGCCAATGCCTGTTCAGCTTAAGTGGAGGGGGACGTCCTAGTTAAATATAAGGTAAAAATAGCTGTCAAATGTTAACTTTTCAAGCAATTTGAAATTATTTAAAAGGAAGCCATGACAAAGTAAAGCAATTCCTGCATAATATGGAAAAGATCCAGAAATAATATTGTGACAAGATCTTGCATAATCATTTTTTATCTTGGTGAGATGCCCCTTGCTTACTTCTTGTTTACTCCCATAAGCAAGTAAAGAATTTATAGAGCTCTAGGTGCCACTATTCCTTATCGAATGCACATAAATTCTTCCCCTTGTTATTCAACTCTTCAACTCTCTGCATCCTTCCAACACCACTTATGCATCCAGTCTTGTCTGACAATATTCTCCC